CGCTTATTATTAGATGTCGATCACAAAATTCGACCGTGCCTAATGACATCCAATATAAGACTGTCTTGATTTGCCACCTGGTCCCGAATGAATGACTAATAAGTTGAATCATGCCACCGATTAATTTCCGAACAAATGATATATCTATGACTCATATTGATAATGGAATTATACGGGGGGAAATCTATGACCAATAATGATTATGGAATTATACGGTGGGGGGGGGGGGGGGAAGGGGGAGATATATAGTATACAAAATATAAGATGAAGTATTGAACACGGATATACTGCCAGTATTCATTGTTAATTATCACCTAATCACATTATAATTATAAATTCATCTGATTGATTATCACTTCGTGCATCGGCGTAATAGATGAATTGTTAATTATAAAATGTTGTTAACAATTCACAAATATGACAGTAATAAATCATTTATAATTAATAAATAAAGCGTGGAAACAGGTACGATTTTGATGAATAAGCCTTTTATGAATATGGCTTATTAATTATGAACAAATTTGACGTTAACAAATATTTGATAATTATCACTGATATTTTTCTTTCGTTGTATAACTTGAACAAAAATTCTTTTTTGTTTTCGGATGTCTTACATTTTTGAGAACTGTTTTGTTGCTTATTCTGAATTTTGTTTTGATGAATCTCACAAAACAAAATTTTCATCATTCAATCTATGCATATCAAGTTTGTAAATCCTTTTTTTTTTCATTTTGCTGTTCATGCTGTACCGTAAAACGGGTTCACTTTGGTAAATTTTGAGACATTTTTGACAAAGAATCTGAAACCTTCGCCAATAATCAACAAAAAAGATCATATTGTAACAAACATCAATAGGGTTGTAAATGCTGAAAATTCGAATTAAACATATCGAAAGGTGGCAGGACATGTTTTTTGCTTAAAATGCGAATAGACAATTTTTTTTTCCAAAAATAGCATAATTGAGCTTTTGTCAAACAACGATTTTGTACAAAAATGAACTTTTTTATTCAAAAATAATAAACCATTGCATGAAACAACATGAAGATGTAAAAAAACGGAAAATGATCTGTTTAAAAAAATAAGATGACACATATGCCAAAGTCAACCCCGGTGCCAAAGTAATCCCGTTTTACAACCCTTCGAAAATCTCATATATGCGTCCTCCCTTGAAGGATATCCTGGATCCGCCACTGATCTTCACATAGACGTATACATACCCCAGGAGCGAAGACACACTAAAACCTAAACCAATTAATTCTTCCACTTGATTTCTCAACAGAAAATAGGTTAAGATAACAGTAGAAGAATGACTATTTTCAAAGTGATTTACATAAAAGTATGATTAAAAAAACCCTCAAAAAGTCAAAATCATTCCTTCACCTTGATTTCATCACAAAAAATAGCTTGTCACTGAAATTTTGACCCCAAAATTTTGCATTTTAAATTATTTCAATGTCCTGCTGCGTACATTATTTCGATAATTCATTAGAAAAGGGATTCAAGTTATTCAATTTTCCGAATGATCTTTTAGAGATAATGTCATGGAAGAATGCAATGAAACGTCCAGAATGGAAAATTAATTTCAAGAAATCCGAAATATGTGAGGTAAAACTTGAAAAAACAGTACAAAAAAGATTAATTTCAGGCCCATTTTGATAGAGATTCTTTCAAGCTGATGGATTTCAAATTGAAAGAGTCTGCTGTGCCGTCAATTTATAAAATAAAGACGTTCAAAAAAAAGTTCCGTCGTCATCGTATTGGGAATTACTGAATGATACAATCGCAGAGAAAGAAAATGAAAATGAGATGATGAATTTACAGGTGAATGTAGACTGCAGGAAGAGGTGGGAAACCGACACAATCAAAATTATATTGAAACAATTATATATCTTCTATTTTTTTATATCCCAACAGAAAACAACTAAATATATTTTCTTGACTATACGTGATACCACGTAGAACACTTAAATTATCTTTCTTATATCTAATGGTATCTCAGGAATAATTGATCATGAAAATTATCGATTCGAAATTTGAACACCCTGTTGTTCATTATTTGAAATTGAAAATCTTAAAAAGGTTATTCTAGTCAAAATAGCCCTATACCTACGGCTATGAACGGTTTGATCCTAGGGGAATTGAAAAGACAGAGCTCGATATATATGTCTTATTCCTTTATACAATCATCAATGCATTTTCTGGAAACAGAAAAGGACAGAAGTAAGGTATATATACAGGAACTCCAAAAATGGCTATGTTCACAGTAACATTCAAACCTAAGGAAATAAAACTGTTCAATAAATAACCCTGTAAATTTTGAATCGAACAGGATAGTTTGCCATTCAGTCAATTATCACTGGCCTCGCATAATGTCCTCAATATTACACAAAGGATAGGTACCCACCTACTCCTGCGTTATTATCCACAATCAATATCCTATAAACAGTCGATTCTTCCGGCTTTGGTCTTTCTGAATTGGCACTCGTTTGCTAGGTATAGGCAATGAACTCAATGTATACACCACATTGAGTTCAATGGGTATCAATGAACTCAATGTAAACACCTAATAGAAGGTATCCTCTGTGAAAGATTGTTCAGTTGCAACTGAAAATTAGAAGGTGTTAAAAAAAAATTTCTTCTGCCTAATGTTCGTGAAAAAAGGGGTTTTTACGATGACAGTTCATACGCGTCGTAGAAAATACCTTCCTTCGATGTATATTTGAGCTACAAACTCAGGATGGATCTTACAATGGATATTACAATAATTCTGATCTCTGGAAAGACATTCGGAAATAATATTCAAGTCTTCGATGGAACAGCATCGATTCTCGCTTCCTATATTTCCATAAGTAAATTAACATTTCAATATCAAAGGGAACGTGAGAGAATGAGAAATATAATGTATGAGGCATCGTAGAGGTATAGATTTTATGCGAAAAAAATCTACACTGGATATACTGGGTGCCATCGAAATTGGGGCGATCAATGAAATGGACGATATGAGACGAAAAACCAAAACGAAATGGAAGAATACATTTTTGTCCAGAAAAATAGTTTGGATTTGGAAGATATTGAGCTTCAAAGTTTGCCTGACACTTTTTTCTATCATTGATCAGAGGTTAATAGCCCAACCAAAGCGTTAGCTTTCGGCCAGATCACAAGCACCGGAAGTATCAATGACGTATGCAATGTTGCTGGACGCTCGGCTGGACGTTCAATAATAGTTCCAGAATGTAGTGTGTGCTCGCACATTTTTTGAAGGGATGTCGAAAACATTTTTACTTCTGATTTATCGTATGTCGTATAGAATGTATGAATAGTATTTCAACTTGTAATAAATATAGTTGAAATCGCCATTACAGTTGACCAAAAATTTAATAAAATGAAGCACTTTAACGATATACAGGTTGTTTTAGAGTTGTCTTGGACTCCTCCCAACAAAATATGAAAAACAAATTATATGAATATGGGTCCGAAAATACTTAGATTCCAAGTTTGCAGAAAAATAAGTTTTTTGATATCTGGAAAACGCACAAGCCCATTTGAAAGTAATTCTCATGGTTCATCAACAGAATTATCAGACATTTACTGGACCAATAAGGGTGGGTAATTTTTTTCGAAACATTTTTATCTTACCTACTTTTTTGTCTGAAAAACACGAGTTCGATAATGAAAATGTCAACAATCCACTATTTATCGAGATATTTCACTAAATATTGATAAATAACAAGAATCATATTTCTAGTTGTCTTTCATATATAACAAAAATGTATCATTGAAATGAATTGTTATATATAAATTGTCCAATGATGAGAAAAGAAGGGCAAATTGTTCTAAATGCCATCCAAAAGACAGGCGGAAAAGATGGTGAAATTTGTAACTTTATATACATATAGTGAAATATCTTGATATATATAATGTTTTTTTCACATTTTATTCATTTTTCAGACCAAAATACGTAAGTAACAAAAAAAATTCTTGGAGAGAAACCCATCGCATGATTAGCGCAAAATTAGATTTGATCCGGAATCTCCAGAGGCATACCCATCGACCAAGTCGGCTTTTTTTTGTAGGAAAAAGTAACTTGCTTCGTTTTCGGCATATCTCTGAACGGAAAAATAACATTCTGAGCTATACACAAAATCATTGCATATTATAATTTATGGAAACAAAAAATATATAAAATTCAATACCCTTTCCAAAATGTATATGATCTTCAAATTTTGTGAGAAATACTGTTTCCACATATTAATGAGAAAGATTTTCTTTGCTACACACCCTATATATCTCGGAAACGAAGCAGTTTCGCATCCATGATCATATAAATTTTTTTTCATATTTGCTGAGAGGAATCTTCGCTATGACTTTGTCACCACAACTCTGAAACACCCTGTATCATATGACACATATAAAAACCCTGCATACGAAACAAAATATAAACCCCGTTTCAATATCTTATTATTATAAATTATAATTACCTTTTTTTCTTGAAGGCGGATCAGCTGCTATGCTTGGCTTCGGAAGCGAAGCAGTTTCGCACCCATGTGCATACAAACTCTTTTTTCATATTTTGCTGAGATGAATCTTCCCTAGGATTTTGTCACCACAAGTCTGAAACACCCTGTATCATATGACACATATATAATATAAACCCTGCATACAAAACAAAAATAAACCCCGTTTTAATCTCTGCCATAGAAAGGCAAATGCATGCACTCTAGAATTCCTCTTCCAAGAAAAAAGTAAACAAACCGCAAATTATAATTAACTTTTTTCCTGAATGCGGATCAGCTGCTGTGCTAGGCTCAGAAAACATGATATCAAAGAAACAATATCTAATTCAGAAGAAAATAGACTGAATGGACAAGTAATTTTCACGAACAGTTAGCTCGTTTTCGTTCCAATTTATCATGATCAATAATGCAACATGTTTGAAAACCCCGCTCGAAACGAGAATCACCGGCAAACGCCGAGATATTACGATTGGCACTCTGTTTTCTGTCAGCTGCTTGCTTCAACAGCGGTGCAACGTTGTGCTTGCTTAGTAAACTTTAGTTTGAAATTTTAATTTGTTTGTGTGTGCTGCTAACCGTGTGTTGTGTGATTTTAACTAACTGTAATGTGCTGTTTCTAGTCCCCAAAACCAAACCCAGTTGTGTACCTTGTTCAGAGGTGAGTTTGACAATTTCTTTCTGCGATGGAATACAGGTTATGTGTTTATGAGGGTCTAGGAATACGAGGGTAATCTTCTTCCTATAGGCACGCCTATTTCTATTGTACTTCTGGACTAGATGCTCAGGTATGGGGATTCCACGTGTTTTTTTTTGTGTTTGGAACTATTTGGGTATTGTGTATGTTTTGATTGTATTGTCTGCAGGTAGGGGAATCCTCTGATATTATCCTACATAGATTTCGGTTTTCCGACGAGAAGCGATGCTATACGATTGATACGGATTTATACTAATTAAAAGCTGGTTGAATAATGTCTTGCCTTGCTATCAAATTAATCAGCCATTCCTATCAAAACTGGATTGAATAATATATACGTGGGCGAAATTTGTATTTAATGAGCGTTGGGTTTTGTTTACATCCATTGACGATATTTATGCTTTGTCTGTTTGACGTCAAAGATAATTCGTGATTCGTGTGTATTTTGTGTTGCATACATCCCATAACTTCGAATACATACATTTTTTATTTCCTTTCTGCTTGTAAGTAGTAGCTGTATATTCATTCCATTATATTTCATTTTATTAGGAGGTAGGTAAAATGAGTCTTAGATGAGTCATATGGTGAATTTATGATAATATACGTGCTGTATGTAACAGCAATGCATGATTGATTACTTTAAACTGTGTCGTGGTGATCTATATGTTTAGTTGCCTACCCAGTATCTCAATAATTGAGCTTTATATTTGGTTTTGAGCATGGTTTTGACACAGCTGTGATTTTGAGTTTGAGCTATCACCTTTCAGGATTTGTTTTGAATAATATTAGTGTAGGTCAAAAGGTGGTCGAGGGGTATTTGCTTTGGTGAATTTGATTCAATATTGTGAATTGAATAAGTGGAAAAAGTTGAGAGTCTACTGGGTGTTTCATTATAAAAAATGGTTGGATCTTTTTTTAAGTGTTGCAATTCGGATTGGTTTTTTTTTTATGAACCAAAAGATAGGTACCTTGTAGTGTAGGTACCGATGAAACCAAACAAATTCTATTGATTTTTCACCACTCAACTGCTGTTGAATGGGTTTTAATGTTACTATGTAAGTTGGATCCGATTCTTGTTTTTTTTCTTGCAATACGTATTAACATATATAAATAATATAACGTATTAAGTAGTAGAAAAATATAAGAAACGTAAATTGAAAAAATATCGGAGGAAGTGGCTCTGGCATCAGAGATCAAAGTTTTTCTGATTCTGAGTTAGGTATGTGAGGTCACATGAATGAAATTGTAAAATGGAATACATGAAGTCCGACATGAAGACTGAATTATCCTGTATACCTATTTCTAGGCTTGGGACAAAAAATAGAAGCCTTTTATGATTCCATTTGCGCGGTGAATGTCTAAATTTTTTTCAGCATCAATAATGCGCAGAAGGAAACGTGAAAGTCTTAATCGCTGTATTGGTAAGAATGGTAAGCATCAACATTTGAGCATTAAAAAACACTGCTCAACAATGGAAATGGACAACGCCCTATTCCACACAACACTAAATTCACCAATTTGGTCCATTCACTGATTTTCAATTGGCGATTCAAAATAAGCAACACTTACTCTTGCGGTTATCCAAATAACTTATAGATAGTACATTAAATGTTTTAGATTATGGTCACAATTCCATAAACGTGAACACTATCTTTAATCATTATTCCTTGGTTTCTCATGTCATTCATAAAGGTTTGCTCACAGCATTTCACAGAAAATAAATATTTCAATCAGTGTAATTGAAAGATTTTTTCTCGATTCGAAATTGAATTCAGTTGTATATTATTCCCAGAAGTAAAAAATTCGGTAAAAAGTGACAACAAAAGTTCAAACAATGCAATCTGTACTCAAAAGTAAAGCAGATGAGTTCAATTTTTTTCTGGTAGATGACGTCAGTCACTTATACATCCAGCTTTGAAGACTATGTATTTATGAACACAGGTAGATGAATCTACTACAATATACCTACACCTACATCTACATCAATTTTCAATATTAATTCATCTACTAATGAATGGAAACGACATGAAAACTATATAACGTTACCTCAAATTGGGGAATTTCTCATATTGAATTTGTGAATCATACTTTATCGAACAAATACTTATCTGCTGAAAAGCTTACCTGAATCCTCATCACCAAAATTCCCATCTGCATTTCACCTTGGTCATCATTGAATTAATATGAGTAACCACGCTCTTCTTGGTCACCCTGTATATGTTTGGTATGATCTCGGGTATGATGGTATGATCAAAAACATTCTTGAAATATTGGAATCACTAGAACAAGAATTATTTCGAGTATTTTTATTTTGGGAAGTATTGAATTTATGGATTAATCATTCTGTAGACAAGGGGAAAAACATTAGGTTGTTTCTTGGCGAATCTTCTTTTGGGTAGTGTTATCTCAACTATCTTCCAGTTTATATGAAATCCACTTACGGTGATGAGATCATCATCGGCATAAAAGGTTATGACAGCGTTGTAAAACCATATACAGGAAATTGGTTTGTGTATAGCTCGAAAACTTTAAAGACTAAAGAGTGACCCAAAAAATGTCGTTGTACAGCATGCCAGACAGGAAATGACTTATATCGAGATCGTCAGATCACTTCTCGGATCACTTTCACTCTTCAGGGAATTCAATAGGAGATAAAATTACCTCATTTTGAAATTGACCGGCTTCGGTTTTCGTATATACAGTCTGTCCAAGATAAGGTTGAACAGCATGGGTATCTCGAAAACGGTAGGAGATACGAAGTGGGTTAAATGGGGAAAAAGTTGCGCATTCGGAGTCTCATCTCAAAAGCCTTCGAAAATTTTCAAAATTATTTTTAGTTTTTTAGTTATATCGAAAAAAGTGAATTTTTGGAATATCTATTTCATTTTTTGTCTCCGTTATTATTAGAGATACTGAAAAACTGAAAATACTTTTGCATAGCAAGTTTTGATGACGTTCAACGTGGTTATACCGATTTTTTTATGCGATGTTTCGTATCCGTAGAACCATCATCAACTTTTGTTTTTAAATACGGTCCTGATAATTTTTTCACATTCACACATCGAATTTGGCCACCCTGTATATAATTCTTACCTATTCCAGTGTGATCCATAGTGAAACTGTTTCCATCGCTTCGTTTTTTTTTCCTAAAAATAGCTGGGAAAAACTCCATAAGCACCGCCTATAACGAAACTGTTACGAAATATCCCGATAGCGTGTATATTTAATATTACGAGTTATTTTCGTATTCGGGATTTATAAATGTCACAACTGCCTACGTACCTACCGTGAATGTTTTTTCTGTTCGAAATTAATAGAGCTCGCAGGTAATATTTTACGGAATTTTATAGGTGTACACCGTTCTGATATTTTTGGTTTCGATTATAACGATTGTTATAGGTTTGTTCGCGTTCATAAAATTAATATTAGATGCGCATGTGCACTTGCAATACGAGAGAACGCCGATTCGCCGATTTACAAAATAGAATGCAATGTTCAATAGATGCATAAGATTCATAGTTCAAAACTAACCAAAGTTTTCCAGTTATGACATACCAAAGTGGTCAAAAATAGTGTTGCAAAATGGAAAAAGTTTAGGAGCTCCCGTATTCCCCAAGAATTTTTTCATCCTGCAAATCATATCTCTCGAATCTTCAAGTCGATATCTCTAAATGATTTTGGAATTTTCGACCGGCGACATTTTATACACAAGGATGTCAAATATAGATGTTTTTTCCGCTATTCTGCAGACTTGTAAAAGTTCAGACGTGATATTTTATAAAATCATATTATACTTGTCTGACATATTATACGATCAAATGATTCTTGAAGAAGATATCCACCTGGTTTTAAGAGCAGCTCTCATAAAACCTCTGTGGGAGACTCCATACATTTGAGCTGCAGCTCTTTCAGAAGAACCACTATCAATGAGGGTGAGATAATTTTCAAGTCATGAGCTTGGGCTGTTATATTGAGTGTAAGAAATGATTTGGAATGAAATGTAATCACTTACTATAATTCGAATTTTCCATGGACATTTTCTCTAGGCGATGAAGGAAACGTGCACTATAGTGGTTTCTTGATTTGATACTATTGAACTAATTCGAATCTGTAGAAATTCGGAAAAAAACAGGACGGTATTTCCAAAACCATTTCGATTTCGCGATATAGCTATGAAGATTTGAGAGATATATGATTTGCAACACCTAATCTTTTTTAATTTTCTATAAGACTAGTTTTGACCACTTGGTATGTCACGAGGTATGTCATAACTAGAATGCTTTCATGAGTTTGGAGCAATATTAATCCTGAAAAGAAATAATCGGAAATAATTCATCCTTTGAACGCTGCATTGCTTATTTGAAAAAAAAAAGCGAATTTGTTTCGGAAACGTCCGATATATCTTCTTCTTCTTCTTTGAATGTTTTTAAATAAGAGGTGCCACTTACTTTTGATTGAAAATGATGTAGAAATTGTGAGTAAGTTCAAGTATCTAGGATTTATTGTAGATAACACAATTTCATTGAATGATCATGCTGACTATGTGATAAGTAAAATATCAAAAAACTGTATTTTTTCTCAAGAGTGCAGTCATCTTCACTATCAATGTATGCCAAAATAACATGCTATAATTGCATAATAAAACCTCATTATGATTTCTGCGGTACTCTCTTATATCTTATTAATCAGAACAAATTAAACCAATTACAAAAATTGCAGAATCGTGGAATGGGAATAATACTACGCTGCAATAGAATGACACCTATACAAGATATACTATGTAGATTAAGATGGCTTACAGTTTCTCAACGACTTTACTATCTAACTATGATATTTATATTTAAAATAATAAATAAATTGCAACCAACATATTTAGAAAACCTTCTAATCACGAACAATGAAGTACATCATCATAATACCAGATCGAATACCAATTTCTACATCCCGAGGACAAATTCACGAAG